AATGCTAACTCTATTCCCCTTCTTCAACTAAGTCACTGAATATGTCTGAGAATATCTCTACGTAGTGAGACACAACTTGTTCATCATTAGTGTAGACACCGCATGCTCAAAATTACTTCCATCAATGATAAGAGTGCACGCATTTTGTCACGACCAAGCCCGAGGCATGAAATTAACCAAGACAGAAACAAACCGTCTTGGTAGGAAGAACGATGGAAACTAAGTTTTCCATTTTTTTATAACTAACTATTAAAAAATGAATAATTTGCTAATCAAATTAAACTAAAGCAACATAGTTAAATTTACCCCGCTATTGGTTGTCCACATCTACTAAATGATATCGAAATTTAATGAAACATTGATAGAAAACAAATATTATTACTAAATTCAAATCAGAAATTACAACAAAATAATATGCAAATTTTAAATTGCAACAAAACAGCACACAATATTAGAACTTGGGTTGGATCTAGTGGGGAGATGGTGTCAGCTAGGAATTTGAACCTTCAGGGAGGTGGCAAGAGGGTCAGCTAGCACACTAGAGAGTGGCAGCAGCAAAGAAAGAAGGTGGTGGCTAGAGGGGGGGATCGATGAGGTTGTTGCCTTGGGTCGAGGCAGCAAGGTTGGATGGGAAAAATAGCAATGGTGTTGTTTTGGGTGGCAGCAGCAATGGGGGAGCGGTGAGGGTGAAGGGTTCGATGCTAGAAAGGATAGGAAAGGATATTGACACGGGAATTTTTGTGTAGCCGGTTGAACCGACCAGCCTTCATGGGGCCTAGAATTGTTGTCCTTTCCCTCTCCCAATTTCCTATTTTACTCACTTCCATAGAGCAAATTTCTTCCTCTTATATTCCTTCTGCCCTTTCCCTCTCCCAATTTCCTATTTTACTCCCTTCCATAGAGCAAATTTCTTCCTCTTATATTCCTTTTCCTATTGCAATTCCTTTCCTATGTCTAGTCCTTGCTTATTTCTCTTCCTCTCCTATTTCTATCAATTCCTCTTCTATTCCTCGCCTTTTTTTCTATTTCGTTCCCAACTCTATTTCCTTCCTATTCTAACTACAAGTACCTATTATAAATACATTGTTTGTTATATTAGGGTTCAGTTTTTTTATCTTCCTGATTTCAGAATTTCTGTCCCAGCCGCCAACGGTGGTTGTTTTCCCTTCTAGGGTTGTATTCTGAAGGCGAGGTGTTGTTTCGGCCGTAACCCGTTCAAGGTTGTAACTCGTCCATAACACAAACTGAGACCTAACCCTAATTTTTCCTTGCTAATTTTCAAAATCAAAAACATTAAATCATTATTTTTGCGCTCTTTCACCTCCCACTCCAAACCCTAGCCATATCACTAAGGAGATACATACCCGAGCCTACCCAATAAAAAATACAGCGGATGATCCATCAATTTCAGCAGAGGTGCGGATATCGAGGATGAAACCCAAGGGTGAGATTACCCACTGTCGGAATCTAAAAAATAAAATGGGAGCAAGAGACGAGGATCTGAATTCCTTCCATAGGGAAGACTTCAACGATGCAGAAAACCGACCATGACGCTTCGGAATCCAGAATCAAAGAAGACTGAGAGAAGTGCCACCATATAGAAAACAGGAGAATCTAAAGATGAAGCAGGAGATCCACCAACTTATTATAGACAAAAGGTTCAAACTGTAGCTTCAAAAATGAAGAAATTACATCATCGAGCGACCACCATGTCTTGCACCTAGAAAAACATCTAAGTTGACCCTATCAGAGGAAAAACAGAGTCAGAGTGAAAAATAGGTGGAACAAATCTGCATCCCTAAATTAGTCCCAGTTAGGAAGTGTTGTAAGTGTCGCGGATTTGGGCATGTTGAATCAGACTTCACAACCGGGGGGGTGATCTATTTCACCAGGCAGGGCGTTCTTGAAAAATAGGATAATAACACAATAGACGCTGAAGATAGTGAGGACACAAAGTTGGGTTAGCTATCAATTGAGGAGGTAAAGATGCACATAGTTCCAGCTAAACCCATGAAAGAAACTCCAACTAACTTCACTGTGAGTGTCCAAGACAGTCTTGAGTTCGAGAGAAACTAACACCAAAGGCATTATAACCCCATATAAGAAAAATTCAGACCATTCAGATCTACAGACACATTCCTGAGTTGCTCCTACTGAGGGAGGTCGAGCACGTCAGAAATGAGCCCCTTTTGTGTCATATCGAGAAAATTACATTGAGTTCAATAGTCTACACACCATCTGATGTCCAAGCAGAAGGGATGAACCCCAGTCTTGAAATTTGTCTAAGGAGCTTGATAGGGAAGGCAATTCTTCAGTGAGATCTAGATCCTATCAGTAAAAAGGAAGTCTCTGTTGAGTGGTTGCTAGTAAAAATGGTGCAACTTGACAAAGAGTCCACCCCAGAGTTTGTCTCTCCTCACCTATTAGTTTGTCAGCTACATTCTACTAAGTATGAGAAGTAAGCGAAGAATGTTACAGTCTACCAAGTATGAGAAGTAAAAGAAGAATATTACAGGCATAATTGCTCAAGAGTTGCATTGTGGGAACCTACATCTACATGCAGCCCCAACTTAGAACGTGTCAAGAGATAACGTTTATTTGTTCTATCAAAACGTGTTGTGGAATAACAATAACGACATGACCAACCTACCAGGGGACCATTATCTATGCTACATACAACATGCTACAAGTAGTCAAAAGATTCGATGAATGAAGTCAAAGCTCTCCCAACCCCGAGAGACTGCCGCGGGGCTTGTTGGATGCCCGGCTGAACCGGTCGCCTTTCATGGGGGTTGGAATTACCGCCCCTTCCCTATCCCAATTTCCTATTTTACTCCCTTACATAGAAGAAACTTCTTCCTCTTCTATTCCTTTAATATTTCTATTCCTTTCTCATTTCCAATCCTTGCATATTCCTCTTCCTTTCCTATTTCTATTCCTTATCTATTTCCCTTCCTTTCCTGTTTCTATTCCTTCCTCTTCTATTCCTTGCATTTTTCTATTCTCTTCCTAACTCTATTTTCTTCCAATTCTAACTACTAGTACATATTATAAATATGTTGTTTGTTGTTTTAGGGTTCAATTTTTTTGTCTTCCTGATTTCATATTTTCTACCGCGCTACCCATCGGCGTCTATTTTCCCTTCTAGGGTTGTATTCGAAGGCGATGAGGTGCTCCGAGTTTAACCCGTCTAAGGCAGTGATCTTTTCCAATATTTCGAGGGGTGCTCCGGCTGTAACTTGATTCCGCGGAAATAGTTATATTTCCCTTCACACCTCGCCTATTCGTTGCTCGTATTCCCCATGCCACCCCCTCCTGTTTCCGGCCGCCATCCCCCAAAACCTCTCCATTTCGACTGCCAGCCTCATCCACCACTTCCCATTGTTGCCGCACACCTCCTTATTCCCCAAAACTTGTTGTCCACTCGCTGCTTTCCCTGTCGCCGCCCCTAAGTCCCTGTCTCGTTGCCTCCAACCAATCCCTCAATCCACTGCCCAACCCCTGTCCACCATCCTCACCGCCACTCTAGGGTATCTTCCATGTTTGTATTGTTATTATTTAGAGTCTGTGTTTACAATCTTTTTTTGAATTTCAGCAATAAAATTCTCATTTTCATTGTCATTTGGGCTAACTCGGGTATCAGACATAGGAAGGATAAACACCACTTGGAGATCAAGATACAGTCAGAGCCCCACTTGGAACCCTAAAATATAGCCCATAGAAGGAAAAGAGACGTCGAAGACTGCCTCGAAACAAAACATAGCAAAAACTAAACCTTAAACACCACAAAAGTAAATATATAGTCTGAAGATAGCTAGGAGTGGGCCCAACTCCAATTGGACGGCAATTCCAAATAGAGAAGGTCAGCCGGCCCCTAAGAAGCTTGGACCAAGCCGGTCCGTGTGCGTTAGGTGCAGACTCGCGGTTCAGGCATCCTAGGCAAAGACGCCTCGTGTCACTCGACTTCCAAACTTCAACTTACCATTGCATGCCTTCACCATAATGCAAGAATTCACATTTCTCATTCAGTTCAATTAAAAATTTTGGTTCACACATAACTATTAGCAGTGAAAGGTTGGATGTTTAAACTATATCAAAGATGATATTGTCTGATGAGATGGATTAGCAGGTCAAGCTGTGTGGTACCAGCCTTACAACGTGCTGGGCGTTACTGAGCTTGTCTACCAATATGATCTGTTTAGGATTAGTTAACTGTAAAAAATGAATAAAATTTTGGCATTTAATTTGGTTATTAAATTAATTGTGAACGAGCTATTACATGTAATGCCTCTTGAAATCAACATAAGACTAAATTTGAATATGTGGTTCTGAATAGTATTTCGTATCCTCTGGAACTATTGGAAAATCTTTTCAACTTCTGCCAGTAAAATTTTTTGGATAGCAAATTGGCATGCATATTAAGTGCTTTATTTTTCATTTGCATTTGGAAGTATTTAGAATTCTCAGACCAAAAAAGAAAATTCATCTTTACTTGCTTGATTTCAGAATGGAGGTTGCAGGGTTGGAGTTTGTTCTGCAACTTGATCACAGTAGGTGAGGTGTTTCTTATGATCCAAGGCACATCACATATATTTTGGAGCCACTACTGTTGAAAAAATGTCAGGCGTAATGAGGTCTACGTGAACATATGCATTTTCTAAATTCACATGCCGTTTTAAGAGGATATGGAAAACAAAAAAATTTGAGAATTGAATTCCTGCCATAAATTAGGATTATGTTGTTGATTTTTGTTGTGTGAGATTAAAATACTTAGATGGCCTGATTTTGAACCATCTATGAATAACTGAGGACAGAACGTGGTAAATTGTAGTTTACTCCCAACACACCCCATGCTCCTAGTTTGATAATTACATGGTCAGTTAGCGGGCCATGATGGAATATTTCATATCTTCATTTGAGTATGTAAAATGAATCAAGGAGAAATATCGAAAGAATGAGAAAATAACAAGGATGGCAAACACCGAGATGATATGTTATACCTTCAGGTCCCGAGAGCTTGCCCAAACCCTTAGCAATAATTCAAAAACAGAATTCAGAAATGATCTGCAGCAAAATCCAAATATCAATCTAAAGGTATAATCTGATATGATGAAATTTGGTTGCAATAAAAAAAATATGAAAGCTTACATTACATCGCTATCAAGCACAGGATGTGATGGAAAGTCACCAATATACTGCCAAGTAGCCTCACACCAGCACTTAAATGCTGAAAAGAAATATCCATAGAATTTATCAACCACAAAATAAGCTCAGGCAGGAATTATAACTAGTAAATTGCACATTCACTGCAAAAAGGCTTCCCACCAACGCGGGGTTCTGGTTAGTGGTTGATGCAAGCATCCGCACCCTGCATCTTCCAAGGTTGTTCCCATAATATCATCAAATAGGAGTGTAATTATGGCATAATAGCATGAATTAGTTTCCAGATCACAGCTCTTATATTGATGTAGGATGAAAAGATTATGATGATAGCGTACAATGATGCATATTTCTAAAAATTGCATTAATTTTCTTGGATTTTTAAACCCACAAAAGAAAGGGTTATCATTTGCATTAAAAAATAGCCGCAAAATAAATGATACCATTTGCAAAAATTGGTTTTTGACTATCCTTTACACTTCCAATTATGGGCAACACCCGTAAAAGAACATCTTTCAGGCGAGGAGTGAACTTCAAAGCTTCAGATGAACAAATAAGAATATCAGTTGTTCTGAAAACAATAGCTGCAACTGATGAAAAAGAATAGAAAGCAAGAAAAGAGAAATAGAAAAAAAAACCTTCAGCAGAAGCAAAATCTGCAAGAATTTGGACCATGGCTGGAAGAGCTGAATTAGGTCCAGAGAGATGAAAAAATATTTCCTCCATCATCTGTCATTCCAATGAAAGAACAATTGGGCAGTCAACATGGATTACTGCTATAAAAAAAGGCAGAGGATACTAAAACTTTTCTAGCCAATATGCAGAAGGTACACAATGCCATAAACAACAACAACAACAAAACCTTTATCCCACCAAGTGAGGTTGGCTACATGAATCTTTTTTCTCCATTGCGTCCTATTTAGTGTCATATTTTCATTTAATCCTAATAAATTAAGATCTTTTTTCTTTTTTATTCTTGTTCTTGTTTATGTTTTTAAATAAAATGAATTATGTTTGGTATGTTATAACACGTTTAGTTGTTTTTAAAAACACTCAAATCAATTTTTAGATGTTTTCAAAGTTTTAAAAACAAGCTAATTTATTTTAAAAACAAAATATAATATCATGCAAAAAATGAACTAAACAAACCCTAGTTAAAATAAAAGCAAAAACAATAAAAATAAACAAAAATCAAATGTTATACCAAACAAGCTCTACATAAAGCTAATGATTTTTTGGTAAAATCTACCAATCAACATTCAGTCTGCCGTCTGGCTATCTAAAGTGATGTGACAGCAGAAATTGTTTGGTAAAATCTACTACGATATGGATGTAACTTCAGTGAATGATCAAGAGGATGAGATTCGTATAAAACTATTCTAACATCCTAACTACTATTTGTATAAACCAGTTAAACATTGTTGTCTAATTGCATTACTGGTTTGCGCAAGTTCACCTCAAACATAAGTTATCGACTTATTAGCTACGTCAACAAGCTAGCCGATTTATTAGTCTAATGAAGAGCTTGATAAAAATAATTCAATTAAAAAGTTTAATGATTATTATTAATCAACAAGTTGATAAATATGCTATTAATTTTTAATAAAATAAACAATTAGATAGCCACCATTTAGAGTAATTAATCTCTAATTAGCCTAATTATTATGTGAATGTAATTGTGTTGCGATATGCTCATATGCACTAGCACTACATTGTCATTTGATGTGTCCGTGTACATCGTGTAGTAAAGCAGCCTTGCGAACTGATGTAGATGCCTACTGGGTAAAACTAATATCTAAAGTATTAGCTATTTTGTGAAAAAATAAAAATTATTGCAGCTGCAATATGTGTGACTAAATAAGTAAAATAAATATTCAATACATTATTTATTATTATAATATGAAAAATCAATCATAAACATTATACCATTAACTAAAATGATGAATTACATTATTTATTAAATAGAATAGTGCAAGCGCACCTCTAGAAAACAATCTAAAAAGTTGCTTTTCTCATCGAAGTTAAACGCTTGTTGACCTCATTTTGAGGTCATTATTCTTTTCCTTAGAATCTTAGGATCTAGCTCTAGGGGTTCCTATCGACTATCTTAGAAAACTAGTATTGAAATTCATCCCTTTTAGAAATTCCAGCCACTTCCTATTTCTCTTGTGATGTCTCGCATTGATGATCTCAAAACCATCGTCTTGTGGTCGAGTGGTCAAGAACTATCACTAGAAGACTCAAGGAGAAGTTCTCAATAGGATCTCAAGCTCTGAAAAAACCTCTTCAGGATTTTATCATCACACACACACACACACAAAATACACAAAATTCACTAAGTTGCACAAGATCGGACTAAAATTGAACTTAAAGGATGGGTGAAAATACGAACTTCTCGGGACGACCTCCGACGACAAAATGGAACGCGTCTGGGACACCAATTTTAGCAAAAAAAGACACTCATATTGTCATAGTTCCGCACACGAACAAATTGCACACAAATCGATTAATTTGTCAAAATGACCTCTAACGGTGAAACAGACCCCGTCAGCGCGTCCGGAACGTCAAAATTACCTAAAAAGGACATTCAATTTTCTACAATCTGACGCACAAACGAAAATGCATAAATCAAATTTTATTTTTGAAATATTAAATATTTTTATATATTTATATTATTATTTATAATCTTAATTATAATCTTAAACCCTATTTTTTCTATTCCCGCACACTTAATCCTTCGTTAGACCTCGCAGCTTAGTCGGCGCTTGGCTCGTCTCCCTCGTGTACCCTAGCTCCAGTGGACGATCCACACATTGATCTCCTTCTCTCTCGACTCTTCTCCTTCCTCGTGTGGCCGCTCGACCTCTCGACTCTCCAATCGTGGGAGCTCAGCTGGTCAACCCCTCTTCTTCTCGAGGCTTTACTTTCTCCTCATTTATGTGGATGATTCACTACCG